CTGGGGACACCACAGGTAGTGTATGAGATCTCTGGGGACACCACAGGAAGGGCAGGGGATCTCAAGGGACGTCACAGTGGAGGACAGAGGAGGTCTGGTGACACCCCACAGGTAAGGCAAGGGAGGTCTGGGGACACCACAGGAAGGGAGGGAGATCTCTGATGATGTGACAGTGCAGGGCAGGAGAGCTCTGGGGACACCACAGGCAGGGCTACAAGCTCACTCTGTCTGCCTCAGATCTTTTTTATTCTAAAGAACTCCCTTAACACTTAATAGCCATGAGGGCTGGGGGAAGGAAGCAGCCTATCCTGCCTGCTGTGACCTTCCTTTCCTCACTTACCTGTTCTGTGAGCTGATGCAGGCAGCACATCGCTGTGGTGCCCAAGTGCTGCCAGCAGGTGACAAATGAACTTTTCTTTGCTCCCTAGGGGATTGTTCCTGGGCAGAGGAATAATGTTCTCTGGGAAGAGCAAGTTCCCAGATGCAGTCCCCCCTTGACCAGCTGATGTCCTCCCATGGCAGAGCCCAGAGCTGAGGGAGAGGGACAAAGGTGCTCTCCCTTAGGGTCACCGTGGTGAGGCTGGAAGGGTACTGTGGTACCAGGATAAGGGTGCAGCTCACCTGAGCTGTCCACCTGCATTTATCTTGGAACAAAGGTATTCTGGAAATACCTGCTGAAACCAACCCCTCCTATGGCTGGTAAATTTGGAACCACCCAGAGTGCCCAATGCCCTGGTCAGAGCTGCCACCCACAGCCCTGGCAGCAATAAAAAGGAGAAGAGCAGCAGCATTGGCAGAGTTGTGCAAGGAGCACATCCCCAGCTACATCAGCTGTCTGCCTGCTGCAGAGATGGTGCAAGTAACTCCCTTTCTCCTGGTGCTCAACCTGGCCCTAGGGGCTCACAGCTTCTCTGTAGAGAAGGTAAGATCAGGTCTGGGATGCAGAGGGCAGGATGGGCAGGGTGGGCAAGGGTTGCAGCTGTGCTGTGGCACGAGTACTGAGTCCCCTCTGCTGCAGTGCAACCTGACTGGGAACTGGACGAACGACCTGGGCTCCAACATGACCATCTTGGCTGTGGATGAAAAAGGCAACTTTGCTGGCTTGTACAACACATCTGTGGCAGACAAGCCATATAAGATCCAGCAGTCACCACTGATGGGCTTCCAGCACCTCACAAACCCAATAGATGAGCCCACCTTTGGCTTCACTGTCAACTGGACCTTTTCAGGTACTTCTCCTTTCCCAGCCTCCCTGGTGTGTCTCCAGACCTGCCCTGCCCTCTCTGCTGTGATGCCCTGGAAGCTCTTCTGCCCCTCCCCGCAGTGTCCTTGCTGATTCTCTGCCTTCCCCTGCACTATGCCAGTGCTCTCTCATCCCCTCTGGTGCCCCTGATGCTCCCCCAGCCTTGTCCCTGGAGCTCCTTGGCTGCTGTCACCTCCCAGTCCCAGTGGGCAGGAGATGCAACAGGG